TGCAGAACTGGAAGTTTGGAAGATGGTATTGTCTTGAATCCAGCAGAGGGAAGGGTTCATCTGACTCTGCAGCTGTACTGTTGTCAGATTAGAACCTCTCCATTATCTGCAGTATGGATGTGACCTACCTGGTGAATGTTAGTGCTCTACCATCCTACCCTAATGAAGTCCTGGTATGGGGTCTGATTCGTAGTACCGCAATTCTGAAGACCAAATATGTGAAACTCAATCCTACAATGTAAAACCAGCAAATAATGGATGTTTTTGGTTTACCAGGTGAGCAAAAAAGGTAGTTTGGCAGGAACAGTATGCAATTAAACTTTTTATCCAGAGTGTTTGAGTTCTTCAATCAAATTTTTTTTCTGAAGTGAAATGTTATGCTCAATCTTGTTTTTGTTTTTTTTTCAGTTTAAAGTCAATTTTTAAACAAATGAATGCTAGTTTGATGTAAATGTAAGTAATTTGTTTAAAAATTGAATGCTTCAACATGACTTAAAATCATTCAGCTCCCAAAACTTCAGATTCAAACTTTCTGTACAGTTTTGTTGCTGAAATTAGTAATTAAATTAAACTCCATATTCAGGAAGTCTTTCCAGAAATGCCCCACATAGGGTCTCTCCTTGCTGTGAATTTGAGGAAGCTTCATGCACAAGTTGCTTTTGATCAGCTCATGTGCCAGAGTGATGGCACAGTAAGGTAGAGGGAAGAACTGCAGCTTATCTAACACGTTTTAAGGTACCTTGTTTGAAAATCATTAAACATATCAGTTAATGATGGTTCTTCAGTGACGTTACTGAGTATCGCAGACCTTATTATTGAAGCTAAAAGCAATGTGAAAGAGTTCAAAAAGTAAGAGTGAAGGCTGCAGGATACATAGCATTTGTTGTAGAAGAAGCTGCAGAAGAAGAGTTCGGAGTTTGCCATTACTGGTTTTTCCAAAGGGCTATCCGATGGGATCCATATGAAATAGATATTTTCCAGTCACAGTATGCTGACTTCATGTTTGCGATGACAACTCAAGCTGTTTTTTCGCTTGTTGTGGTTTTTTTTTTTTCCTCTCTAATGAAGAGGTGCATAGGGCTACTGATTTAGCCTTTTATTTTTCTCCCTCAAGAAAAACGCAATTATGTCAAAAAGTTTTAACCTTGAATACTCATTGTTATGGAGCAATAGACACAGAAATGTTAGCCTTTATATTGCACATCTGTGGTGTGGTGTTGGGGGGGGTGCAGGGGTGACTTCTGTGGGGAGAGGCTGCCCCATGCGGGACACGGCTGGCTCCAACGGACCTACCGCAGGGCACAGCTGACCCCCTCCGTTAGGAGTTGGGTGCCTCTGGGAAAGCACATGTAAGAAAGGGGAAAGCACTGCATGACAGCAAGGAAAAAAAGTGTGAGAAACAGCCCTGTGAGCAGCACCAAGGTGAGAGAATGAGGAGGGGGAGGAGGTGCTGCAGGCACCTGAGCAGAGATTCCCCTGGAGCCTGTGGAGAGGAGACCATGAGGGAGCAGGTATCCATGCTGCAGCCCATGGAGGACCTCATACTAGAGGACGCAGAGATTTCTTGAAGAATCCTTATTCCAGGGAGGGTTGGACTAGATGACCTTTAAAGGTCCTTTCCAACCCAAACTATTCTATGATTCTGTGGTCTATGGAGAGCCCACACAGGAGCAGGCTCATCCTGAAGGACTGCAGCCGTGGGAAGGACTCACTGGAGCGTGGGAAAAGCGTGAGGCGGAAGGAGCAGCAGCCACCATCCCCCTTTGCCATTCAGGGTGGGGAAAGGTAGAGGAGTTGGAAATGAAGGAGTGACAGGAAGGAAGTTGAGCCCAGGGAAAAGGTGAGAGTGGAAAGGTATTTTCAATTTGGTTTCTCACCATCTAAAACTATTCTAATGGCAATAAATTTCTTTCCCCCAAGTTGACCCTCTTGCCTGTGATGACCATGAGCTTTTTATCTTATTTTCTTTCCTTGTCCTGTTGAGGTGGGGGAGTGAAAGAGTGGCTGGGTGGACATCTGGCAGCTGGCCAAGGTCGACCCTAAAGGCTTTTTCCACTCCGTAAATTGTGGCTCTATTTACAGTCCGAGGTTATAAATTTGCTTGAATGAATACTCCTGCTTGTTTCTTCAGGTCCCTCTTTAGAAATAATTTTTAAAAAATATGTGCTTGGCACATATTACCCTTACACTACTATGTATTTTCATGTCTGTGTGAATGATCTGGTTTTACAGAAGTAGTTTGCAGTGCGTAATATGTGTACACAAATATTTGGCATGTTGATTCATTTATATCCTTCAGCTTTTTGTGTTACAGTCGTTAAATACCCGGGATGAGACTATACATACCAAGTTGCTGCATTTAAGTTTTATCATCTGTCCGTTGTAGGTATTCATGCTGGTTTAGTATGCCTTTGCATTAAGCATCCATACCAAATAAATTTGCTCTTGAGCGTTTTATGCTTTTATTAAATATTCATTAAATGAGATGCATGGTATTCATGCAGTCTGCTGCTTAGTGCATTGAAACCTCAGAAGATGCATTGTTTATAAATTCTTTATGTAGAATGAGCCAAGGTTTTCCCTCCTCTACCGAAATACATCAGGATCCAGGACGTGTTGCAATCAGTGGAGTGTTCTGCATGCACGACTGATTTGGAAGGTTTAAGACCTGGAGAATGGGTACAGTAATTCCTGTGTGTCCTTAGTGCGAGCTGCAGTCTCTTGACCTGCTGTTCCTGACAAACTAGGAAGAGTTATAAGCACGATAAGTAGGTGTTTTCTTTCTTCTCTGTTGCTAATGTGAAAGATAAAAAATAGAGATTTATGGACAGATTGAACAGGCTAATTTTTGGCCTCAATCATACAAATGAAGTCTAGCTCCTACTTCAATGAAGTTCAGCAAAGGATACCGTTTGTCCTAAGGTAAAATGCTGGGCAGAAGTAGTCTGGTGATAAAATACCAGACTTATTTTAACTGCTTTTCTCTCCATAGTGAGGATTAGTCAGAACACCTCTAAGAAAATAATTTTTGTCCAGAAGGGAATTTCATGTTAAAAACCCCATAGATCTCAAGACTCTTGTTCCCCTGAAACTGGGAGGGTACGACACTCGTTACACTGGAGCTTTTCTCACCATGCAAAGGCTTGTTCTCATAAGCCTGACATACTATTTATGAGTTCCTCCTCAGAAAGATGATTGGGTTTGTCCATGGAGGCACTGGCTATCTAGATATTACAGCCCTACAGAAGTCTGGTTAGGATGTAGCACGTTATGGTGATACCTAGTTCCTACTGCATACTTATTGTGTATGATGGATGACCAATATAGGAAGCAGACTGTATGCGATCAGCTGCTGCTTGTAGTAGAGGAACATTGTTTAACCTGAAACTGGAGACTGGATTTTTTTTTTTATTTTGTTTTATGTATTGGGAGAGGTGTTATCAACAGACAGCTGGGAAAAGGATCCTTGAGGGTGCTTAGAGAGATTTTTTTTTTTTTTAAAGTGTTTATTTGCAAAATAGACTTAGGCTTTGAAATCCAGCTGTGGATCATCTGTTACAAACTTATTTCTTTCTTTTTAGATGAGATACCACTGAAACTTGCTTTGGGCTGTATACAGAGCATATTAGATAAACAGTCACTTTGTGGGTTTTTTTTTTTAAATATAATAGTCTAGTATGTTTTGGCTGCTGCCACATCAAAATATAAATAAAAAGAATTCTGCATCAAATCTGTGAGAAAGGGCTTAAAAATGAATATACACTGATAATTTTTAATGTTCTTATTACAAGGTTAAGCCAAAATGCAATCACTCTGTGGAGTCCTATCTGATGTTACTTTGCAGTACTATTTGAATTTAGTATGCTCTACTATCTAAAGACAAGCATTGCAAATATCTAGCATCAGTGTTAATGTGTAGTCTACTGCAGGGGTTCTTGAGCAGATGACATGGAAGAACAGAAGACAGATATGCTCAGGGGCTTTTCAAAAAACTGTATTCTCACACCTGCTTTTTTCATGCTCTGTCATTCACTGGTCTCTTTTAAAATCACATTATTATTTCCCTCTCTATGTATTTATCCATATATTTGGGTTTTGTTCTGATGGTATCATAGACTGTTGTATACAGCTGTGTTCTGGAGACGGGGTTTATTCTGGAGGGATGAAATTTGACATCCTCAGGTTTTCATACCTTCATCCTTACACTGCACCAACACATAAAGGTTTCCACTGAAATTTTACTAACTTATTGTTAGCTAAACAAATAAATCCTGACTTCATGTAGCTCTAAACCTTGTACACCTGTAGTAGAAGGTCAACGTATTTGTTCATCTGTAGGACTTATATGGAGATTATGCTTTCCTCTTATGTTATACTTGATTTTCTGAAGAGACTGAACGCTTAGCTTCTGCTATTTGTTTTTCTTAGTCACAAAGTAGTGAAAGTACATCCCAGTAAAAATCTATTTATTTACTGATGCGTGTTAACTTGCTTGCCGGCATAGTGCTATGTGTAGGTTTGAGGTAGATTCTTTAATGAGTGGTTTATACCTTTGGTTTATTCAAGATCATATGCCAGAGCACTTTGAGATATCTAGATTATTGATTCTTTTTGAGATGCCATGATTTTAGTGAGAGTTGGGAAGGAAAAGATCTGGGTTTTGACTGGAAAAATACTTTGGTTTGCACATTCACCTAAATGTTAGGTACTTAGATGCGTTCCAGATCAAATTGCTTAACAAACATTAATATGATTGCTGATGCAGTATATTTTCTGAGTTTAATCATACCCATGAAAATTCTGTAAGAAAATAGCTTAAAACATGTTCACAGTAAATCTTATCTTTTTTCTTCATGGATTTTAAGTGTTTTAAATTAATTACTTTTTGATACAGTGTTTACAGTAATACTGTTGAATTAGCTATGAAAATAATTCATGCAAGTTGCTTTTAATTATGTGCCAGTCATTTATTTGTTTGTTTCTGTCCTTTTCTTTGTCAG